GCTGGAGTGGCAGCTCTATTGAAGGCGGTTCATCCTGAGTGGAGCCCTGCAGCCATTCGTTCAGCCATGATGACCACAGCTTACACCATGGACAACAACAGAAGTATTTTGACTGACCAATCTACCAATCTCCCAGCTACACCTTTAGATTTTGGGGCAGGCCATATAAACCCAAATAGAGCCATGGATCCTGGACTCATCTATGACTTAGATTTTCAAGACTATGTTGATTTCATATGTGGCCTCGGTTACAATGAGACAAACATGAAAGCTCTTCTCAGGAGAAACCAATGGAACTGCAGCCAAGAAAGAGCAAACCTAAACTATCCGTCTTTTGTTGCCATATTTAGCAATGAATCTAAGATGGTAAGAAGACAGGTCTTTAACAGAGTCTTGACAAATGTAGGAGATGATCAATCGGTTTACCAGTCAACAGTGGCAGTTCCCTATGGACTGGACATCAAAGTAGAGCCCAGTACTCTATCCTTCACTCAGAAATATCAGAAGCAGAACTTTTCCATTACTGTGGAGGTTTATGTGCAGGCTTCTCCTGTGGTTTATGGATATCTAACTTGGTTCGATGACCATAAACATATTGTTTCAAGCCCTGTAGTTGCCCTGAATTCCTAGATAGTCTGCATTCTATGATGCAAAGTATCACTCAAAAGAGTGACTTAAATTTGGGATCAATAAATAAAAGTATAGATAAACTCTAAGTTTAACATCAATTTTTTTTTGATTCAAGTATTCAACAGCTTAACATAAACTGTAAACTCTAGATGATAAAAGTCTGCAGAAATTTATGAAAGATGTTAAGCAAAGCTAATCCTAAATCGCATTAGAGGATAAATCGCATTAGAGGATAAACAAAAAAATAAATAAAATAAAATAAAATAAGAAGGAAATTGGTGCCTCCTAATTTTGGAGTCCCTGCAGCCTGCCTAAATGAGAAGAAACAGAAGTTCAGAGTTTCCCTAAATGTTAAAGAAATTAAAAAGAAGAAGCATATCTTAATACCCAGACCAAAGATCAGAGAACCTAACAAAAGAATAAACCAAATATTGTATTTTAACAAGGATAACCAAACAATAGTCTAGCCTGCCTCAGCAACAAATCCAAGAAGTATGCAATTTCTTTTTATGAGACAGATAACAAAACCAATTTCTTTTTTGCACCATATATCATATCTCCTGGAATATCAGATGAGCCATAGTCAATACCAATTCAAGTGCTTCCTAAACTTCTTTTTTAGACAAGTATGTGGAAAGAAACTGCTTTTGGTAAAAGTTATAAGAGGGGGAAGAAAAGGATGATCAGAAAAAGCAACAAATTCAATTTGGGATCTTAACAGGAATAAACAAACAAAAACTTAACCTGCCTCAACAACTAAAGACATATAATATATCTTGGCATGGGAGAAGACCTTTCCTTTACAAACCCCAATATTCTGCCTCAAACATCCATTTGAATCACATCAATTAGTGCAGAAGGAGACCTGTACAGCTGCTTATGTATCGTGTTGTTCCTTTCAATCCAAATATGATATATTAATGCACACCAAGCTAATTTCAGAAGAGAACTATACAAAACTTTATGTTTAACTCTCTTCCAAAACCAATCCAAAGTATCTTGCCAAATGCAGTTCAATGGGATTTCCAGCATAGATGAAATCCTATCCCAAATATGAAATATGTGTAGAGTTAGGGACAGGAGAAGAGGAGATGATTTCTGAGCACTTGCATTCCCACATGGTACACAAGTGTCATCAATGGAAGAGGACCAGTTCTTCCATCTGGACTTGGTAGAGAGTCTATCCAATATAGCTAGCCAAGCAAAAAAAACTGTGTTTGGGAATAGAATTTAAGTAGCAAAGAAGTCTAAACCAGAGTACCTTAGATCTCTTTTCTCTAAGGAAGTTCCAAGTAGCACCTGTTTGAAAGGAACCTGATGGAGAGGCCAACCAAACAACCTGATCCTCCATAGCCTGATTAGGATATAATGTCCCACACAAAGCAATTTGAATCTTCTGTAGCTCAGGTGACCTGGCAGGAGACCATTTCCAATAATCCCCTTGGATTATGTGAGAAAATTTTGCTTGAGAGGGAATAGCTGCATCCTGCATAATTTTCTGCCCATATACTTCAATAAGAGATCCTTTGGGCTGCCAAGAATCATACCAGAGAAAACAGTGTCACCTTTACCTAATATATGCTTCACCAGAGGTCTAGTGCATGTTCTAAGTTTTAGGATTTTTCTCCAGCTCCAAGTAGTGTCTGCTGGAATTTTTACTGACCAAAAACTCTTTTCTTTAAGCAAATAAGCTTTCATCCATGCCACCAAAATAGATCTTGCCTTGGTGAAAAGTAGCCAAATAAATGTAAGCCACATTCCAATTGTGCAAAAGCTTCAAGCCTAATCCTCCTTCCATCTTTGGTTGACATACTGCTAGCCAACTTACCTTGGCTCCTCTTGCATCAGCTGCTCTTCCTTTCCAAAGAAAAGCTTTGCAAATATCCTCCACTGATAATAGAACACCAAAAATTTGTTATGCTCTGAAGAACAGATGAAATAAGCTGTAATCTCCCTGCAAATGACAGATATCTGGAAGTCCACAAACTGATTTTATCAGTTATTTTTGTGATGAGAGGTTTTAAGCAGCATCTGTTAGCCTTCCAGTTATAAGTGGTACCCCAAGGTATCTAACAGGAAGGGTCCCCACCTTCAAAACCAGACAAATCAGTTAACTCCCTTATGGCATTATGTTGCATTCCCCAACAAAAAATTTCTGATATATGGTAGTTCACCTTCAACCCTGTTACCAAATAAAACTGTCTCAGTATAGGATCAATAGCACCTATTGCTCTTGTTGAACCATCCATAAATATTAGTAACTCATCTGCAAATCATAGATGAGTCTGTCCAACATTACTGCATTTAGGGTGGTAAGGTAGCACTCCCTCCTTCGCAGCTTTATTGAGCATTCTTGATAAAACCTCCATACAAATGACAAAAAGATATGGTGATAACAGATCACCCTGCCTTATCCCTTTCTTGCCAGTAAAATAGCCTTTTAAAGTCCCATTTAGAGCAACTAAGAACTAAAGACATATATATTTGAATTTAAACCTCAAAAAATTTATAAATATATGATATATCAGACTGCATACCTTTGAATTGATATCTTTTGATTGCACCTCAGACAAGGTTGGTTGAAAGAATGTGTTTCAAAGATCATCAGCTGTTACTTGGAATCAATGGAACTGCTGTCAAGAAAGAACTGACCTTTCCTTTGTAATCTGAAGATGAAAACATGTGATAGATGCATTTTTTTCCCAGAAACCTATGACGGCAATGGTTCATAAAAACAAGAAAATTTTAGAGTAAAAGATATTAGCGCCGACAAATTTAATTTGTTTGCAATCCAAAGTAAATCG